ATTAAAAAATTACACAAAAAAATGAGGAATTTCAAATAGTTAATTTGATACTAATATCGATATATTTTTGTCAAATTTTTATGATATCGTCAAACATATATTTTATTCAAAAATAAAAACAAATAAAATGAAATATTAAAAACACGATGTATCTCACTGCATTGCACGAGTACTCTTCTAGTTACAAATAAAACAGTTCTCATTTAGTTAACCCATCCAATCGAAAAGGGAAACTATTTTGATCAAATTTCCGTACAAGACTCATTATCATATATTTAAAAGCATAAAGAGAAATGACGTGGAGGCAACGACTTGCTGACGTGGATATACACGTGTAAAATTGGTCCGACGTCTATTCACAAACGAGACGCGTGTACAAATCTCTCCCAACAGTTTCTTCAAATCAGCAAAAGCGAACGAAGATGAAAATAGAGGCATTCGAGAGATTTCTTATCTGGTGTCCTCCATGCCTCTCGTTCATGGCCAATTCGTTTTTGAGCCAATGCAATTGCGCCCTTTCCCCTCTTAGATTCGATCTCCCTTCAACCAACATGCATTCTCCTTCCTAATCTATCGACGTTTTTGGACTCACCTTGCTGAAATCAATCCAAATCGGACATCCAAATACGAATTGTCTGATTCTGCAGGTAATGTGTTCGATGGAAGGTCTCAATGACTCAATTAACGACGATAAATCCTTTTGTTGCCTGGTTTTTTATTCCTGATTCTTGAATGCCTATCTGGCGCCATAACGTGACTCATTCGTAAATCTATACGTTGTTAGATCGTGTTATAAGATGATTTACGTTGATTTGGAATGCTGTTTAATGGGTTTGGTTTTTAGATCGTGGCTATTGTAGATTTGATTGGTTTCTTATTGGTGGTGTTTTGGGTGATTGATTTTGTCGGGGAAGGAAGTTGAGAGGGCATTTTGATTTAATTCTTTCCTGGGTTTGCAAAATTTTGTGAACTTTGGGAAGAAGCAGATGTCTAGATCTGCGGAACTTCGTGTTTCTGATCAATGGCTTCAGAGCCAGTTCTCACAAGCTCAACTTCGTAGCCTAAAATCCAAGGTAATTATTAATCTATCCTACTCCTCGAATTGATCTTATGGTTTTGCCCACCACTTGTTCGATCATATGTCAAACAAATAATTCATGTTTTGTTGTGTTTGCTTGGTGTATAGTATATACAATTAAAGAATCAAAATGGTCAAGTTACTGCTGGTGACTTGCCACCCTTGCTTGTGAAGTTGAAGCCCTTCAATGTGATCTTCAAGGAGGAGGAAATTAGGGACATATTGTGTGACCGTGGTACTGATGAGGAAAATAGACTCGATTTCGAAAGCTTCCTTAGGGTAAACACCGGGTGTTCCACTGTTCTCATCTTCATTTAAGTTTCTATTTGTTGGTGCGTTTGGTACACTGGACATGACATGGCATAACATAATAGGGATTATTGTTCACGTTTGATAGTACTTTTATGTTGAACAAACAAGATTAGAGTGGAATGAAGTGGAACAGGGTGGCACAGACTTATATTTTATCAATGTAATCTCAAAATAAAACCTAATTCTCTTTTAAAACATCAATTACGTCTATCTATTGTACATTTTATTCATTTTTTAAAATTTTATCTATTGTATTTTATGTGTTTTAAACTTTCACTCTAGTGTCCTCAAAATATTCTTTTTATACGGTTTCTATATTCGATTAATTTATGTAATTTATTAGATATCAATAATAAAAAGTAATATAGAAAAGGTATATAATAAAAATTGGAAAGTACATAAACTTTTTATTTTGGTGTCATTTTAATCGTATTGATTAAAACCTTCTAATGATATATTTTGTTATCAAAAATATTTATTTTATTATAATTTAACAAATTAATCAAAATATATATCTCATTAGGATTAATTGGTTATTTTGATCTGTTTTGTCCAGTTCTGTCTTTTAGTCCTATCCTATCTGTCTGGATGCCAAATGCACCCTTAAGTTTCTATTTGTTTAGGCCATTTAAGGTTTTCATTTTGTGGGTCTCGTTCACATGACGCATGGAGGTCGAAGATGTGATTATGGATCCCATATACTGATCCAAGTAAAAATGATGATGAGACCCATGAAATGAAGAACTGAGAATGAAGGGAAATGGTATAAGCAAACATATTTTTGGAAAGGTGTCCTAGGCTATGGCTGGACTAATCCCTGCAAATTGTGACCGCAAGAAATCAGCTCCGATAAACTCAGTGGCCAATAATTGTTGTGTACTCCTAGAGTAGAACCCTGGGCACATGGGATACTCCACCACATCCCCCAGGGCCTCAACCGCTACACCACAACCCTTGTGGTTTATAAGCAACATATTGTAGTTTGCTTTATTGATCGATCATCCAACGAGCAACTTGCATGCATCTTTCTTGTTCGAATCAAAGCCTTGATTAACTTTTAATCGATTGCATTACATGGGCAGGCTTACGTGAATTTACAAACACAAGCTGCAAAGAAATTGGGTAATTCAAAGAGCGCAGCTTCTTTTCTTAAAGCATCAACAGTTCACACTGTACATGATTCCGAGAAAGAAGTTTATGTGGCTCATATCAATAGCTATCTTAGAGATGATCCATTTATGAAGCAGTTTCTTCCTATTGATCCATCCAGCAATGCTTTGTTTGAGCTTGTTAAAGATGGAGTTCTTCTATGGTACTTAAGCAGGGTCTGCTGTTTTACTCTACTTCTTCATGACATTAGGAGTCCGACTGATTGTGGTGGTTTTAATATATCATTATGGTCTAATGCAGTAAACTTATCAATGTCGCTGTGCCCAATACAATAGATGATCGAGCTATTAACACCAAACGAGAACTCAACCTTTGGGAAAGAAACGAAAATCATACGCTTTGCCTCAACTCTGCCAAGGCTATAGGTTGCACGGTAGTCAATGTTGGCTGCCAGGATCTAGCCGAAGGAAGAGTAAGTTATCTGGCTGTTTTTCTAGTTACCATATTAGTTGTGATTTAGTTTATATAATCTCACTTTTAGTTCCTCAATTTTGCAGCCTCATTTGGTACTTGGCCTAATTTCTCAAATCATAAAGGTGACTATATCCTATTATATAAAAGGGAAATTCTCGTTTACTGATGATTATTTAACCAATCATGAGAAACACAATGTTAGAATCATGAGTTATCATATTAGAACTCAAGTTGTTAGCCATAGAAGCAGAATTATGCAGATGATCAAGCAAAACACAAACCAGGGGTCTTCATGGAAACAACCGCACTACTCTTTGGGGTAGAGGTCATGTTTGCGTACATCTCACCCCCCATACCCTACTTTTGAGTGGGATTTACCGAGTCGGTTTGGTTTGGTTGGTTGGTTGGGTTTAATGAAGCAAAACACAAATAAAAACACACACACAAGACATAAAAATTTGCATGGTTCACTCAATAGGGCTACATCCACATGAAGGTGGGTGTTCTCTACATGGAGAAAACAAAACATAATGGTGAATGCCGAAGAAGAAATGATTCCCTTAGCCATAAAGAATATGGAGGACTTCTCCTACAAATGATCTTTTACCAGGACTCTCATTCAAATACGCAAATCCTTATTGCAGATGGAATATGGAATTTCCATACATCCATCAAAACTAATGGGAGTCTTTCATTTAGCCATAAACCCAACAAAACCAAACAAGTCCATTATATCCTAACCGGAGGTGGGCTCTAGGAGGGGTAAGATTTATGTTGACTATCTCAAGAGTAGAGCAGTTGATTCGGTGAAGATCCCCGACTTGTGAAAAGTGGATGTAGGCAAATAGGGATGTCCACTCTAAGTTAGGAACAAGACATCTCAGGTTCTTTTATCTTTTCTGTATTTTTCATCTCTATTGTTCATAACTTGTGCTTGTGATGGTGGTGCGTGCAGATACAACTCCTGGCAGATCTCAACCTTAGAAAGACACCTCAGCTTCTTGAATTGGTGGAGGACGATGAGGTAATTCTTAACCCTTCTTTTTCTTTCTTGATGTACGAGGATATTCAGCTTGTGGTTTCTACAAACACCCTACATACGCTTGCATGTGAACGTAATTGTACGTTGTCTTATAGGATGTTGAGGAGCTCATTGCATTATCACCTGAAAAAGTCTTGTTGAAATGGATGAATTTTCATCTTAAGAAAGCAGGCTACACAAAAACTGTGACAAATTTCTCAACGGATTTAAAGGTAAATGCCACCTTTTGTTTGAGATTTTGACATATTCATACAGTTTAACAAGGTCTCATTTTGACACATCTTTACGTTGACTAGTGTTGATCTTTTGATTCTTTTCGTATTGGTAAATAGTGTCCAAGGTTCCATGATAAGATGACACTGTAATTTGTTCATGCAAAAATCTAACTAAAAAGCAATAGCAAGTTCATATGTAGTGAGCATATCTTTAGAGAGTTGATCTTGTAAAAATGGTTGTCTTTTATGTCGTGACAGTCTTCCTGCTTACTAAAATAAATGGGACTCAATGTCGCATCTTAATTTCTTCTAGCCATATAATTATGAGAATATGGACGAGACATAGTAGCTAAGTTTGACTCAGTGTTCAACTTGTGAATGGTTAAAACCAAATGAACCCCGTATATCCACTCGAAAGTAGGGTCCGGGAGAGGTAAACCTTACTTCAACCACTAGGATCGAAAGGTTGTTTCTGTAAAGACCCCCGATGTAACATCACAGGCCAACCGTACTACATATTGTCGACTTTGTCCACACACCTAGACTCACAGTTTCAAAACGTGTCTAATAGAGGAGGTATCAAGTCCCTTATAAGGTAACCTTCATTCCCCTACCCAACCGATGTGGGATCTTACAATCCACCCCTCCCTTGGGAGCCTAGCGTCCTCGCTGGCACAAGAGTCTGATTCCCGGCTTTGATACCTTTTATAACATCTCAGGCCAACTGTACCAGATATTGTCCGCTTTGTCCGCACACCTTAAATGACGATTTTAAAACGCGTTTGATAGAGGAGGTATCAAGTCCCTTATAAGGTAACCTTCGTTCCCCTCCCCAACCGATGTGGCATCTTACACCCAACTTTTGCATGACGCAAAGGTGTGTGCAAGCAGACAATAATATTAGTAATAAAACAAGTAATAGGAAAAATAACAGGCAGAATAACGAGTCAATGGTGTGTACGCTTAAATGGTGTGCAAGCAATAATGTAATTACAACATGTAAAACAAATAGAACTAATGTACGTATGCTGAATTGTCCTAACATATATATCGTGAATGTTCCGAATCCTCCTAAATTGGATGTTTTACCCAAGCCCAAGGTTTTGAAGGTATATGCAAGACGGTCCAAAAAAGGATAAGGTTTATCCAAGAAAGGATAAGGTTTATCCAAGAAAGGGTAAGGTTTAGTTTTACCTTGCTTTGGGAATATGTCTAATAAATAGGGAGAATACCTTTAGCTTGTAGGCATTCGGTTATTTTTCTAAATAATTACTTGTGGCTCATAGCTCCTCACTTTTAGAGTGGGAAGTTTCCCTAGTCATCTCTGTTTTGGTAATTTTCCGTTTTTAATTGCAATCAAACCTTCGTTTCTATCCATCTTCTACTTTTCTGTTCTTCTCATATTTGAATTCGTATCATTGGTCCGACCTGCCATTGATCTGTCGGAATTCACGATGGTCACTCGTTCTGAGTAAAATCGATTCGATGGTCATGAGGAACAGATTCAGAAACTTCAAGCTGATATGACCGAGATCAAATCGGCCATTCAATCTGTGGAATTGGATCAAGTGGAGCAAGCAGAGTTACGAAAATTTATGATGAATTGGGTCAAAAATCAGGACAAACGTTCAGTTGATGGACCGGGAGACCAATCTGGTTTGTTCGAGAAGGAGGATGAATCAGAATTTTTCTCACACCAGAAGATGACTTCTCCTTTTGATAAGGAGGGGGTCGATCGTCATCTGATCGCCTTCCTTGGGCAGCGAAGAAAGTGAAATTACCTGAGTTTTCGGGTTTCGACCCTCAAAGTTGGATCAAAAAAGTGGAACTCTACTTTGAGATCCACGGAATTGTCCCTCAATTACGCATCCGATTGGCACAATTGAGCATGGTGGGGGTTGCTTAACATTGGTTTTCTATTGTCAATGAGCTCTATGTGCCATTATCGTGGGATCGGTTTACCAAAGAGCTTTTACAACGTTTCAGCGGGTTGGAGATTCAGAATCTTTATGAGCAATTAGCAACACTTCAGAAACTCCATTCATGAGTACATCGAAGATTTTGAATATTTATTGTCGTTAATTCCTCTTTTACCAGTCCCAAGCCTTTGGTCCGACTTCATCGTCCTTAATCCCGTCTGGACGCCATGTATTTGGCTAAGGATGTTGAACAAATGTTGTGTCCTTCTTCGATCAGTGTTTCCGAATCTCGTTCTCGTTATCAGAACATGGGAAGTGGTTTGGATCGAAATTTCATTCCGATCTGAAGTCGCCCTTGGGCCGATCTGATGCTAAAGGATATGTTAGTTCTGGGCCTAATGACAAAGGCTCAATTCATCGGCTTAATCCTAGTCGATCAGTACCTAATCCATCGATTTCACGTACACGACCTATTTTGACCACGTTCTCTGATCATATATCAACAGGAAATCGCAACAAAGGGTTTCGATCTCTTTCTCGTATTGAATGGGAGGATCGCCACAAGAAGGGATTATATTTTCGTTGCGGTCAAACCTTTGGTCCAGCTCACAAATGCCCAAAGGGTAAATTGCGAGTTCTATTGTTGGTTGATGATGAAATTGTCGATGATAATGGGGAAATCCGGGCGATGGAGATATTGGAGGATGATTTGGGAGACGAAGTGGAACCACCGACGATGGGGTCGTGTACGGTATTGGAGTATCAGGGCACTTTAGTGACGGCGGAATCGGGAGGTAAAACTTTGAAGATCGAAGGTGTTATTTTGGAAATACCGGTTGTAATTTTGGTGGATAGTGGGGCAACACATAATTTTGTATCCCATAAATTGGTCACGGCATTGGGAATAACGTCATTTTTTCTTGGGCATCAACATTACTCTGGGAGACGGACATATGATTCTTGTGAATGAACATTCAGAATTGCCGGTTTTGATTAGCGGTTGTGAGTTTGTGGTGGATGCTTTGCTTTTTGAAATGGGACAGTTGGATTTAGTCTTGGGTATGGAGTGACTAGAAACATTGGGAGAAGTGGTACACAATTGGAAAACTCAGTCAATGCGATTTTCATTCGGTGGTTAAGCAAGCTTCTCTTCACACTTAGTTGAAGTTGGAGGAACCTCATAAGAGGTTACGGGATGGTGCACATGTTGGGGAGTCAAGTAAACACGACGACACACTATATTAGAAGCATCAATCTAACTTACAATGCCTATTAGAGCAGGTTGCGGTTGTTTTTCGGGACCCTACGGGTCTTCCTCCTATTCGCTCATATGATCATGGAATTTCATTAGTGTCTCCTACGTCTTTCCGATTTGTGTTTGTCCATATCGGATTATCGGTACCCGCATAGTCAGAAGGCAGAGATTGAAAGACACGTTAAAGAACTTTTGACGTTAGGGATGATCCGTCCTAGTAAAAGTGTGTTCTCGAGCCCGGTAATTTTAGTTCGAAAAAAAAAAAGACGATTCGTGGAGAATGTGTGTTGATTACCGTGCTCTCAACAAAGCCACAATTCCCGACAAATTTCCGATTCCGGTGGTCGATGAGCTTATTGATGAATTATCTGGATCCCATTTCTTTACGAAGTTGGACTTAAAATCTTGTTATAATCAAATCCGTATGAAACCCCGACAGCATCGAGAAGACAGCGTTTCGCACTCACGATGGCTATTACGAGTATATGAATGACATCTTTCGACCTTACTTATGAAAGTTTGTTGTGGTTTTCTTTGACGATATCTTAATTTACAACTCTTCTTGGTCTCAACACTTGCAAAGATGTGAGCACGACTCTTCACATTTTGGTCTCAAATCAATTTGTGGTCAATCGAAAAAAATGCTCGTTTGGACAAACGTCGATCGATTATTTGGGACATCTCATCAACGCCCAAGTTGTGGCAATGGATCCAAAGAAGATATCAGCTGTTTTGGAATGGCCAGTCCTAAAACAGATTAAATGATTATGTGGATTTTTTTGTCTAATGGGTTACTACCATAAATTTATTCGTCATTACGGTAGTATCGCCAAACTACTGACTGATTTAACAAAGAAAGACTCGTTCTGATGGAGTCTGGAAGCCCAATCAGCCTACGATGAATTGAAACAAGCTATGGTCACGGCACCGGTCTTGGCATTGCCGGATTTTTCATTTCCTTTCATAATCGAATGTGACGCTTCGGGACGTGGCATAGGAGCGGTGTTGATACAACAACAAAGGCCCATTGCTTATTTAGTAAGGCGTTGAGTGAGCAAAACTTAGCGAAATCCGCTTATGAAAGGGAAAATTATGGCATTAGTGTTAGCCGTTCAACATTGGCGATCATATCTTTTGGGAACGAAATTCTGTGTGTATACGGATCAAAAAATTCTTCAATTTTTGCTACAGCAGCGTATTACGAACCCAGGACAGCAGAATTGGGTAGCAAAGTTACTGGGATATCAATTTGATATCTTATATAAGTCGGGCCGAGAAAACAGGCCGCCGACGCTTTACCGCGACGTGCGGATGATGGTAAGGTTTCGTCATTAACGTCAGGACCGATTTGGGTTCAAGGGACTCAATTAATGGAGGAAGCAAGTAATGATCCAGGATTACAAAAAATCATTCGGGATTTAACGAATGATCCGAATTCCCATTCCGGGTATACGGTGAGACACAATGTGTTGTACTACAAGGGTAGGTTGGTGATTCCTCATTCTTTCACACTAATTCCGTCTCTCTTAGAGGAATTCCATTACTCTCTTACGGGAGGGCATTCGGGTTACTATCGTACCTATTGACTTTTGGCTACAAACTTATATTGACCCGGAATGATAGCCAGGGTGCAAGAATTCGTGAAGGCTTTTGATGTTTGTCAACGATCTAAGGCTACTTCAACGTCTCCAAGTGGGTTACTTCAGCCTCTTGATATTCCTAATGTGATTTGGGAACATTTATCTATGGACTTTATTGTGGGTTTACCCAAGTCTAAAGGGTATGATGCTCTTTTGGTAGTGGTAGATCTGGTGTCTAAATACAGCCATTTTATTCTAATCAAACATCCTTATACCGCTAAATCTATTGCAAAAGTTTTTGTCCGGGAAGTGGTTAGACATCATGGAATTCCTAAATCAATTGTTAGCGATTGTGATTCGTTGTTTGAATTTTGTTGTGCAAGTAGAGCTCCTAGCGAACCAGGGCGAGCAGCAAAGGCCTTGGTGATTCTCCAATTTTGAAATATGAAGATAGAAAACCATAATTATTCCATTTTGAGTTGTGGGTCATAGGGCGGGCAGCTTTATCTGATCAAGGGCACCTGAGAATCGTATCATCAGAAAGACATTGACTGGACTTGAGAGCATTCTCATTGCTTGAACATGAATAAGTCCTTTTGGTATTCTACGTGCACTCTTGCGTGAACCAAGACGTCCATTCTTACGTGGGGAACCTCTCGCTGGTTTTTGGAATTCGACATCAGGAAGTGTTTTCACACCCCAAGCTTTAGAGAAAAAAAGAGTTATGCATCTCTCCGGGGCTGGGGGAACAAATAGGCGCATTTCTCGCAGATTTCATGAAATAATAGGTCTAATTCAGGCGGAGCGCTTTCCACGTCCGAAACAGTTTAAGTCATTTTTGGCAAGAACTCTTTCGTTTGCAAGGAACAACGTTAAACATGAGCTTCGCTTATCATCCGGAATCGGATGGTCAAACAAAGGTGATAAACCGTTGTTTAGATACGTATTTGCGGTGCTTTGACATTGATCAGCCTCATTCGTGGGCATTGTGGGTTTCATGGGCAGAGTTTTGGTATAACTACGTTTCACAGTTCTACGGGTCGGTCACCATTCGAATTACCTTCATCGTCACGTATCCATCCCTTATTTCATTTATTTACTTAAAAAAGCTGTAATGTCACCTACGGTGACAACTTTTACCACCAAAGTTGGAATTCGATGGCAAGGATGTTTTGTTGCCGTAGGAGATTTGTGCGAGACGTACAGTGGAACAATACGGAAAATCAGTGGATCAATTGTTAACTTGTTGGCAAGGGCAGGTCCGAGAAGAAGCCACGTGGGAGGATGCTAGCATAATCAAGGGCCAATTTCCGGATCTAAGTCTTGAGGACAAAACTTTATTGGAAGGAGAGAGTAATGTTGTGAATCCTCCTAAATTGGATGTTTTATCCAAGCCCAAAGTTTTGAAGGTATATGCAAGACGGTCCAAGAAGGGATAAGGTTTAGTTTTATCTTGCTTTGGGAATATGTCTAATAAATAGGGGGAATACCTTTAGCTTGTAGGCATTCTGTTATTTTTCTAAATAGTTACTTGTGGCTCATAGCTCCTCGCTTTGAGAGAGGGAAGTTTCCCTGGTTCGGTGATCATCTATGTTTTGGTAATTTTCCGTTTTTAATTGCAATCAAACCTTCTTTTTTATCCATCTCCTACTTTCTTGTTCTTCTCATGTTTGAATTCGTACTAGTGAATGGTTCATTTCATCATATCCAAGTAGAGCATCCAGAGCTTGACCTTGTTGTTCGGTTTTCGACTCATTTAACCCCTATATCGACTAACAAAATGAAATTATTATATGGTCAAGGAAGAAGAAGTTTTCTAGACACTCATTGTATTACTATATAGAGGACTCAGTAATTTGAAGGCATGGATATGGTAAGTGACACCATGGATTTATGAAAATAGGCCTAACTTCTATTAAAAATGTGTAATTGTCGACAAGTTTATTTTTAGAACTTGGAGTTTGGCAATTAATGCCCAAGTGGAAAATGGCTTTTGTGGCCTGATGGAACTCCATGTTCCTTAAAGTCGGAAGTTGCTTTCTACCACTCGTTTTAAACTAAGTTTTACCATAACAAATTTGCCATGCATAATATTATGAAAACTAGATACAAAATTTTGATCTTGTTCCTTGGTTATGATATATTAGATAGATATGATCTGATATTTGACGATATGAGAAGTCCTTGTACATGTCTGTTAATGAGCCTGTGTAAGAGTTTGTTTTTTAGCTGCTTAATGAGATTAATTAGACTCGCAACTTATTTAGTCAGATATACATGACCAGTTATACATCACGGTTTGATAGTGGCTTAATGATATAGAAAGTAGCTTATTCAGCAAACTTCTAGGGAGGAGCTTCATGCATAAACCCAAGTTTTTTCCAACCCTGTCCTTCCGGTTAAAAAGCACACTCCTTCCATCTACTAAAAAACCTTCCCAATATGTACAAACATATTAATCCACACAGGTTTTGATGGAAAACCAACCAAAAAGCCCCCGACTCTAGCTTTTTTTGTTCTTTACATTTTTCACAAAAAAAAAATGCACTACACTTGTAGAGATTCAAATTTGAGGTCTTTCTCTAACAATATCATTTACTATATTTGTAGGATGGAGAAGCTTATGCTTACCTGCTTAATGTTCTTGCACCAGAACACTGCAACCCGGCCACATTGGATACGAATGATCCTATTGAACGAGCCAGATTGGTACTTGAGCATGCTGAGAGAATGAAAGCCAAAAGATACTTGACTCCAAAGGATATAGTTGATGGATCAACAAATTTAAATCTTGCATTTGTTGCACAGCTATTCCACCACAGGTTGGAGAGGGCTGTTTATTTTCATATATTAGGCCTTTCAATTATAAATAATTGCTTTCCTTGATTTGAGATTTTTCTATCTTGCTATTTCAAGAGTATGCCCTTAGAGGAAGAGGTAACGTTAATTCTTTTATGACTAGAATATCGTGGGTTTGAGTCACAGAAATTACCCACTTGTAAAGGGGAAATTTACATAAATAACCAAAGGTGATAGGTGGTTTCACTTTTTTTAGCCATTTTCTAACCCAAAAATTCACCCTTTAGCCAATCCTTATGTAGAAGGCTCACACATATGTTAAGGATCGGTTTTCGGCAAAAAAAAAAATAAGAATCCTTGCGCAGAAAGTCAGATCCTTAAGCAGAGTCCTTATGCAGAATCCACTTTCTACGTAAGGGTTTTTTCGCTGAAAACTAATCCTTATTCATATGAGTAACTCTTCTGCGTAAGGATTGGCTAAAAAGTTAATCCGCCAGAAAATGGCTAAAAAGTGAAACCCTATTTGCTGATTGGCCATTTTCTATCAATTTCTTCCCTTTGTAAGGGTGGATGGAAAATATTGAGAGTACAAAGACTTCCCTCCTAAACCCCGGCAAAAAGCAAATAAAGGCTAGGCCTTAGGGATCCTCCCCATAGGTCGCTATTTCTTCTTGATTGTCATCTTCAGGCCCCATGGGATTATCTAGGTTTGGATAAGATGACCCAGAAACCCACGGCTACCCGGAAAGGAAAAGCCGAGGAGCCTTGGTGCACCAGGGTCACCCTTTCTTTTCTTTTCTAGTGTTGGTCTATTTGTTAAAACCCCAAGAATATGCATTGTATTTAACATTTTTATCTCCACCTTATGAAGATAATGTATGTGTAGGAATGGTCTATCTAATGATAACAACAAGGTCTCTTATGCTGAGATGATGAAAGATGACGAACAAGTGTCTAGGGAAGAGAGATGCTTCAGGCTCTGGATCAACAGTCTTGGAATTTCTTCGTACGTTAACAACGTATTCGAGGATCTCAGAAATGGGTAAGTATTTTATATACACACACTAGTTATTTACCTTTTGTATGTTTCATTGTGCCTACTCGTTACTTTTTCTTATTTTTTCATCCTATGTTCACCATGTCTTAGTCTTTGTTTTTGCCATATGTTTCCTCACGGTATACATAGTTATTATAACAACTAAACCAATAACTGAAGTTATGAAAAGACCATGATTTAATCCTGGAGCATGATTTATTATATCTTTCTTTAAATATACACATATGAATATAGACAAAAATATCAGTAATATATAGAGAAAGAGATATTGACTTAACATATTCAACTTTCAATATGGTGCAACTATTCAAGGATTTCAATCTTGTTAGCATGTAAGTGACACTTGATTATCGGAAATGTTATTTAAGTTAAGAAATATTCTATAAATTAGAAAGAACCTAAAAGTATATGGAAGTCGGTTACGAACAATGAAATATCAAGGAAGGACAAACCAACGGTTAGGGTTTGACTTTCTACATACGGGTAGGGGGCTAGATGAGTACAAATTGCCCCAGAGTGTCGAGTTGCTAGAGTGGTGAACCTTGGCTCTGATATAGACTTTCTTATGTTATGGCGAAGACTGAATTTAGCTTCCAACCCTAGTCAGCAAGCTTCAAAAGTCCTTTCTCCTTTCTTTTTCGAAACTCTAATAGAAAACTCTCCCCACGGGACCATGTTAGAATATGTGGAACCTCATTAGATTACTCTCCAAAAAAGCCCTTGAGGATAGAGGGGAGGTTTCAACATATAGTAAGAAAAAATGGTCCAAGTGTAGCCGATGTAGGACTCTTAAAACTTTTAGCATCAATAAGTTTGACTCGGAAATCAAACTTCATCTCACTTTGTGGAACCGCAGGAGTAATTTAGAACATTGTGCTCCATTTTTGTTGTAGATCAAAATCCAAAAACATTTGATTGTCTTTTGTTCATGCAGCTGGATTCTTTTGGAAGTTCTAGATAAGATTTCTCCTGGATCAGTTAATTGGAGGCACACAACTAAACCTCCTATCAAGATGCCATTTAGAAAAGTTGAGAATTGTAATCAAGCTGTTAGGATAGGGAAGATGTTAAGATTCTCCCTCGTGAATGTAGCGGGAAATGATATCGTACAAGGGAACAAAAAGCTCATACTTGGTAACCTAATGATCTTGGACTTGTTTTATTGGATGAAGGATCGTGTGAGAATAGGAGTTAAGGTGAGAAGCGTAAGAAGGGATCTGGACCCTTGATCACTTTTAATCTCACCGCCACTTCTCACAAGAATTGATCCGGTGCATCTCGGTGCATCTCATTACTGTTGATCTTCAATTAGGATTGATCCAAGGTTGGAGATCCCTTCTTACCCTTCTCACCATTCTCACCATAACTTTCATTCTCACCGGAACTCACCCGTTTCATTGAACAAAAGATGGTTGCTGAACATATTTTCTTGCATTTCAGCTTTCCTATGGCAGTTGATGAGGTATAATATGCTTCAACTTTTGAAGCACTTGAGGTCTCGCTCCCAAGAGATAACAGATGGTTATATTTTGAAGTGGGCGAATAGAAAAGTAAAAAGCACGGGCAAAACTTCTGAAATGGAGAGTTTTAAGGTCGGATATGAAGAAAAGGACAATCTAGTCGACAGTTTATTTCTCATGTTAATTTGTCACTTTTTGGTTGTCTTTTTGTTAATGCCTATGCAGGATAAAAGCCTTTCAAATGGGATATTCTTCCTTGAGCTTCTCACTGCAGTGGAACCCAGAGTCGTCAATTGGAACCTTGTAACCAGGGGTCAAACTGGTATGGTTTGTTTGCCTCGGTTCAATATGTTAGTCGTTCAGCTGACGACAAATTGAATGAAAATGCAATGTACTATGGTCGATCTGATTCTTATTTTGTAACGTATTTTCAAAGCCTTAATTGTGATACCTCAGATGTGACATCTTAAAAATTTAGGTACCTGATTTATGTTTGAGATTGCATGAAAATGCACCCTACTTTGGTCTAAATGTTTGATGATATCACATCTGAGGTACCAAAATGAAGGCTTTAGAAATACGTTGCATTTACATGCAATTTGCCCTTCAGGTAATCTAGGAACATTTAGATAATGCTTTTCCTTGAATACCCTTGATCGATCTCTCTCTCTCTCTCTATAGAGAAAGTTTAAAGGTTACATAATTAGAGTTTGGTTCATACGAGAACAATAACCAAATAAGAGAATAAGAAAATGGTCGAATCACATGTAATTTTACACTAAAATCAAGTGTAATATCACATGTGATTCATGCGAATTTGACCGCGACCTGAGAGGTTGCAGGCAGGCCATGTCATCCGCACACCCTTTGCATTGACCGTTAGTGTAAAATCACATAATTTGGCCTTTTCATGTTCTCTTATTTGGTTATTGTTTGCGTTTGAACCTCCCTCTACATAATTAGTGTAAATAATGGCTCTATGTACATATCACATATTGACCGTAAAAGTCACATCCATTGGCCACTTTGCTAAAACCTTAAAAGGACCAACATTTTCAAACGGGTCTAAAAATCTTTCAAGGTTCAAAGCCTTTTTGTTTATAAGTTGAGCAAGATCTTGTGATGGTTTAGTCAAGTTTGGGGTCCTTAACAATGTCTTCACGATATTGAAAATAGTTATTGTTGGTTGTGGTGATAGACGAGGAGAAGAAGTTGAATGCAACTTACATCATAAGTGTTGCACGAAAGCTTGGATGTTGCATCTTCTTGTTGCCCGAAGACATCATGGAGGTAAATTGCGGTTTTTGCGTGCATTCTTTATTGTTCAGAATGATCTTTTATTTCTCACGGAAGGGGATATATTCGTCTAGTGTAAAGAAAAACAAATACTCCTTTTGGTCTTACGAAAATTGCAACAATGATGCCTATGGAAATGACAAGGCTTCTATTTGGCAAAATTATAACTTAAATTTACTTAAAAACCAAACGAACCCAATATAGCCTTCACTATATAGCTCAATTGGCAAAAGGGCGTGGCGACTTTGCTCATCCCCCCCCCCCCCATCTACGGGCCCTGGGCTAGCCTTAACCGTTGAGTGAGTCAAAAAATGACCCCTCACATTGGTGTCCTTAGAGGTGGGTTCCGTGTGGGGCTGGTTGGGGTTGTCGGTAATCAACTTTTTGCCAAAACAAACCTAACATACCCCACACAGAGGTAGAGTATGAGAATAGGATGTATGCAAAACCTTGCCTCTGGCTCAAGAGATAGAGAGGTTGTTTTTCTGAAAACCCCTAGGCTATAAAACAAAAACTAAAAGAAAACATGAGAGAGAAGTAGCAGATGAGTGTATGCAAACAAACATGCGTAGTGAGAGGGACAAAAGATAAAACAAAGTCGTTAAAATTTATTGTTTACGTAAATGCGGCGTCCTTCTTTAAGGGGGTTTCTATCTTGTAAACCATAAACAAAATGTTTTCTTTGGGAAGGGTGTCCCCGGCCATGCATGGACTAATTCTGGCAAATTGTGACTGCAAAAATTCAACCTTGATAAACTAAGTGGCCACAATTTTTGTGCACGCCTGGAATCGAACCCTATTGTGTACACCACATCCCCCAGGACCTCAACCACGACGTCAAATTGTGACCATTTCTCTTTGATATACGTTGTTGGAATCTCTATTTGTTCCTTATGCCTCTTTTGGAGAGTAATCTCACACGGTTCTACATATTTTGACGATACTTTTGACAGGTGAACCAAAAGATGATGCTTATGTTGACAGCCAGTATTATGTACTTTTACCTTCAACAATTTGACGACGAAGCCGAATCGGCTGCATCATCCGTTGCAGTGACACCGGATGCATCCCCGGCCCCTTCTGTTAATGGCGACGATGAGAATTATATGGGTACGGAATTCTTCAACATGTCCATGGATGATGCAGCCTCTGATACTACCACTTGTTCTTCAGTGACTCTTGAAGACACTACTTCGCTATAAATCTTGATGGTTTTCTTGCAAAAGGTTTTATATACATACATATATACATACATGAAAGAGGAAAATAAATAGCCTCAATTGGTAGATTTGCTGAAGATTAGTCAAATATGGGAATCGTAAAATGGTGAAGTCAATTCTTTGTTCTTTGGGTTGGGGTGGGGTGGGGGGTTCTTTATTCTTTGTATGGTAAACAGATGTTTTGATTTTAAATTTTATGTTCAAGTTGCATGTTTTAAGATATGAGGTGATGGTATATACTAGAGGGATACCTTCAATTCGAATTGGCAAAAAGCAATGTGTCCTTGCATGATCTGGATTCTAAATATTCATGATATGGATCTGAATGAGCAGGGCGGAACCTCATGGGGGCCTTTGGGGGTCATGGTCTCCCCGTTTTTTAGACTTAAATACTATAATTAAGCTTAAATACTCAGTTGGTATTCATTTACAACCTCCATTCTGAAGGTTCCTGTTTCAAAACCCCTCCTAAGCATTTTTTTTATGCATTTTATATAGATTATTAATATTTAATTATATGTATTAGTTTTTACATAATATATTAATTATATGTAAATATAAGTTTTTCAAGTAAATTACATCGGTATTACTAATTCTCAATTAATACTTTGAATGTTTAAGTTTTTAGAGTAAATAATATAATATATTAATTATATGTAAATAATGTTTAAGTTGGAATTACTATTTTTCTGTTAATACTTTGAATGTTTCAAGTTTTAATATTACATTAATCAGTCTTTTTCTAAAATTTAATGGTCTAAAAACGAATTATTTGGATTTACAAATTTTTATAATATTATGGCATCTTCAACATATTCTTCAAAAAAAATTCCAAAATAGATAATTAAAACTCTATTAAAACCAGGGCTCGAGCTCCCCGCCCCAGCCAATCTTTCGTTGGCAGGAAAGTCGTTTCGATCCAATCCATTCTTGGGGTCAAATAAAGACAAAAAATGGATATCTCAGTGACCTATAAACCATTCATATCAAAGATTAGTGTGAATGTGATAAAAAAATGATTCTCTCTTATTGTAATCATTTTTTGTTTACACTCTCTAATGTTTTCTCCATTTTGGAGAATTTTTGAGAGCTTGTTGGAGAAAAAATATGCCTAAAATCTCTATTTTCTCAATTTTGAAAAATCTATTGAAGATGCTCTTATATTTCGGCCCCCGGACTACGACGGTTGTGTTCCGCACCTGTGAATGAGTCAAATTTTCTATTTTTTAAAGGTCTTGTTATACCTAAAACTTTTGATTACACTGTCAAATAAGATAATAAAGATACATATATACAAAGTATAGATGCAATGATGATCATGAAACGCATTACTTTTTTCTTCTATTAGAAATTAAATAGGCTTTGAGTTAGGCTATATAATTTATATATTATATTATAAAATATTTGACAAAAACTCTTAAAAACAAACTTTTATACATAAAGTACTGTTTATTGATGCATATTACTTAAAATTCAAGATTACGGGTAAATTGTGCGTAAGTACAACTTATTAAGTTCCATGTTTGAATTTGTGTAACTAATTGTAGATAAATATGATCAAATACAAGATAAAATTCTTATTTTAAATATAAAATTTAAAATATAATTAGTATAATTATTGAGTTCTAATAGAATATTTAATTATTATTTTTATAAAAAATATATTATTAGACCAAAAATAAATTAGTTCGTCATGAAACCTAAATTAAATTATAATAAAAAATTGAACCAAATAAATCACACAAAAATGAGAACTTCTATATATTTTTTAATTTTTATGATATCTTTAAATTTATATTTTAGTAAGAAAAACATTATTGTTTGCTCAAAACCATATAAATTCGTATTATAACATCGACAGAGCCTAACAAAAAATAAAATAAAACATTGAAATCAAAATATATCTTTATTACAAGAAAAAATTTATATAGTTTTTTTTACTTATGATATTAAAATTATTATTTAAATAATTTTATTATATTAGATGTTATGGAATTTTGTGTTTTGTTGAGTTTTAGAACGTACCTAACAATTATTTTATAATTTTCTCAAACAAACGACAAAAAAATAATATTTTTATAAAATTTATATTCAATTCTAACATATTTTCTATTGTAAAGACTTTAATAATTTTTTTATTTTAAACATTAAAAAATAGTTTTATATTTAAATTTATATATATATATATATATATATATATATAACTAATTTTATAGAGCCCTACTAATAATTAAATTAAAAAACATATTAAAACGGAACGATATAAACATATGGTAAACCAAAGAGGGAATACAAGGAGCGAGAGTGTTATTAGATAAGAACTTACCAGGTTATAAACATTTATCATCAATTCACTTTGATGACCAATAACATTACCCCATAAGGTAAATGAGTGGTAGATGGCTTTGGGTATCATTTTATAGGAGAAAAGGCTCAATTGGGTGAAAATAAGGAAAACCGCACAGTATGGGCCTGGCTATAGTGTTCGACGATAGTGTCATATGGCAATATAGCAAGGCAGGATCGCTGGGAAGGAGATGAGTCTCGGTACGCTTGGCGCGATAGTGCCATATGTCACTATAGCATGGCAGAATCGCCCAGATGGAGCACTGCAGGATAAATATCCGATTTCAATACTGATTCATTTATTCTTCTCATCCACCCTCATTAAATTCGATTTCTAGGGCATTTACTCCACTTTTTCCAACCGTCTGAGGAGGGCTAATCATCATTAAGACCATAAATTCAAGTATAGGGCTCTCGTCTCTATTGTTGGTGATTTCTTGGTTTTCTAAGGTTTGCACCCAAAAAAAATTACTAATCCATATACATGTTAAAATGTTGTATGTTAGTTCCTTACGGCTTTTATTTCATTTAATTCACATTTGGTTGACTTTCGACCATTTAGGTCAACTATGAGATCTTTGGGGATTTTACCTATTTGATAAAACAAGTGTTGGTAATGATTTTAAATACATAGGAACTGATTATTTCAAAATATTGATGAATTTTGGGAACTTAAAATGTGTAAAGTTCGTATTATGAATTTTGTTGGTGAAATGATAATTTTACTCACTCAAGGACTCTTTGTTAACAAAAGGTTATACGTTGGGCATATCTTAATGTGGCCAAAAAGTTATAAATACTGGGCTAGAATGCAATGGATCTATAGGCATAGAAGTCGATTTTATTTAACATGTTTGGGGGGATATTTCCTATTTGTAACTTGAAACAGGCATCGAGTCTTAATAGGCAACAAGGTGTGGACTCTTGGAGTCGAGCATTGGTAAATGACCAATATAGTGTCATTTCTAAGTGAATTAGCTTAACTCGGATTATGAAGATCTGAAGGTAAAGACTTGGGGAGTTGAACTTGTTGACTCCATAAGCAAAAGACTCAAGGAGTTGAGCTTGCTAATTTGGTTATCCATAACTGACGCTTATATAACATTGAAATTTGGCTTAGTAATGTGTTCCGTCACTATCAATGGTAAATCGGTCTCTCCCGTCATCTTATGGTGTCTTAGGGGCCGTTTACTAAACACTTACTTCATAAGTGCTTACAGGATAAATTTTCTTATCGGATGAACATGAGAAAAGCCAATAATCTTACCGGGTAAAAGCGATGAGAATGATGGAGAGTCTTACCCGGTAAGTGGGGATGACGACTCTTATCCAGGTAAGTGCTTACCTAGTAAATTGTTGCATTCGATATGTTTTGATGTACTAAAATCTTGCGCATCAAAATAAATCATAATGTTGACTCTTATCGGTAAGCAATTGAGTAAACGACCCTTACACCCTTCAAAGTGCAAGGATGATCTATTTATACAACATAACATAATTAAAGCTATATTTTTCGTTTTAACGTTTTATAGCTTTACTCATAAACTGGTTGATCTCACTAGACTTTAACCTAACACTTGTTCTTAAATAACATATATGTCAGGTTCTCTTAGCAGGTGGACTCCCAAGGTCTGAGTGGAGCATTGTTATCAGTAGAGGCGTTTTTGGGCTTACATCTTCAGATGCAGTTTGTGGAGTTACTATATACCATTTATTTTGAGGATTTTAGCGACATCCGAATGTAATCTATATTTCAATTTTCAGGCTAGTATAGATTATTAGGTTGTTGGCTAACATCCATTATTCAATTGTAAACTCTTATACTATTTCCCTATTCTTGGGTGATTTATTTATACAGGTGCTAAATTCGTAACATTTTTTTTTGCTTTAAATGTACTCTTATTTTATGGGTGTTTCATTATATGCAACTAATTATTACGGTTTTAACGGAAGATTGAATCAAAGAGGTCAACACTAAATATAACCTAAAGAACAGTAAGGAAATTCTTCAATTAGCTTTGACAAACTAGCTTTCGTTGAATCTTATAAAGGCTATGTGTACCATCTCATTTCTAATATACCCAAATTATTTGCTAAGTATGTTTAATTATTATGTTAAGAAGATATTATGTGAGAAGTTGTGAAGCATGTTAAATGTCAAAGTGAGAAATTTTATTTAGTGTTTTAGTAATGTTCATATAAGAGAACCTATGATTTAGTGGGAGTTTGGGTTTGAAGTTGTAGAATTATACTTCTTAGGAGTATATGAGAGGATTTGGGAAAATTTTACGTCAAATGGATATGTAAAACTGATTTTTTTGGGAGATATTTTTTGGAATATTTTTTATAGGATGTCATAGATTATCTCTTTATGAACGTGTAGGCGAAAACCTCATAGAAAACAGAGGTCCGAGTGAAAAGTTATGAATATTTTAAGTGTTGATAGTCAAAATGGATACTGGTCCGGATCAACCCGACCCAACTCGGTATTTAGCATAGAAAACTCAATTTTTTGGCCATATTTCATGTCATTTTTTAAGTCCAAAACTCACACACACACACACACACTAGAGGTGCGATTTACACATACATAGGCTCGATTCAAACTCAAATCAAAGAGGAGTTACAAGATCTTTGAAGGATTTGATCATCAACTAAAGGTACAATCCATCTCTGCACTTGTTTTTGGTTGACATTTTTGGTATATGAATTACATGCTAAAAAAGAGTTAGGATTTCATATGAGTTTGATATTAAGAGTATAAAATGAGTACATTCTATTTTAGTGATAAAACCAACCAAAACACAATTCCAAACCGGATATTTCGAAGTTTTTTCTAGAAAATTAATATCCTGTATTTTGAGGTTAAATCAATTTTTATTTTTATTGGAGATTTTATAAAATTGGTAACTTGGGGTTTCTTAAATGAGATGTTACATTATGTTTGACAAACACCTCCAAACGACTAAGAGGTCGTCAATTTGCAAATGCCAGTGAGAAATTTCATGGCTGTTTTCAATGTAAGGGTGTAAGTGAGTCGAGTCAAGTCGAGTTGTAGGCTATTCGAGCTCGACTTGAAAAAATAATACCAAGCTTGAGCTTAAGCTCAAATAACTTTTTCAAAGTAGGGATTGAGCTCGATGCTTGTTTAAAAGCTCGATTCCGTGAACAGTTAACTCGTTTATTGGTTTAAGCTCGGTAATACTTGTATTTTTATTATATGGTTTTTATGAACGTATGGATATATTTGGCTTGAAAAAATGCATGCTCGAATGGCTCGGCTCGAAAATTTAATCAAGTTCTCGAACAAGGCAGATAGAACATTGTTGTTATGAAGCTCGACTTGTTCATTTGAAGGGGTTTTATTTTGTGTTCGAGAATTATTAAGCTCCAACTCGAAATAACAAGCCGAAGCTCAACTAGTTCGAAAAAAGCTCGAAATGCTTACATCCCTACTCCAAGGCCACTGGGATTAGGTGAGGTGCACGCAAGCTGACTTGGAATCTTATGGTTAACAAAAAAAGAAAAGTAAATTACGATTTTCGTCCTTATGGTTAAAAAATTGCAATTTTCGTCCCTATGGATCACAATTTATTACTAATTTTGTCCTTATGATTTACTATTTATTGTTGTCTTAATCTTTGTAGTTTACAATTATTTACTATTTATGGTTGTTTTGATCCTTGTAGTTTACAATTATTTACTATTTTATCTGCAGTTAGTTACACGAATTCAAATATGAACATTTAGTAAGTTATACATATGCATAATTTTTTTGTAATCTTGAATTTTAAAATTATATGTATCAATAAACAATACTTAATGCATAAAAAAATGGTTTTTAATTTTTTTTTGATCAACTATCTTTAAATTTTTTTTGTTAAATACTTTATAATATCTAAAACAATATTATAAAGCATTTGACAAATACTCTTAAAAATTATTTTGTATGCATGAGTATTGTTTATTAATGCATATTACTTAAATTTCGAGGTTACAAGTAAATTATGCGTAAATACAACTTATTAAAGTTTCATATTTAAATTCGTATAACTAACTGCAGATAAACATAATCAACTACAAGATAAACATCATTTTAAATATAAAAAATCTAAAATATAATTAGGATAATCATTGAGTTATACTTATAAAAAATCTAAAATTATATTATTAAACCAAAAACAAATTACTTTGTTATGAAATCTAAATTAAGTTATTGTAATTTTTTTGAATTAAATGAATTACATAAAAAAGAAAATTTTTAAATAGTTAATTTGATATTAATATCAATATTTTTTTTTCCGGATTTTTATGAACAAAAACATTATTGTTTTATCAAAATCACATAAAATTGTATTGTATCAACAGAGATAAAAAAAACAAAGCATCATCTTGATATATCTCGCTGTATTACACGAATATTTTTCTAGTAGCATGGATATAACATTTAGGAGGTGTTTGTGATTGCTTATCTGAAACAACTTATACAAAAGCATTTATCAATTTATTATATTCTTTAAAAACTTCTTATTACCGGTTTGGTACCAGCATAAACTATTTATCTAAACATTCAAAAATACTTATCACCGATAACATATCAAAATAAATCAACAAGTTATTTTTATAAGCAATCTCAAATATCATCTGAATTTTAAGAAAAAATCTTAAAATTACGGTCCCGCACGTCCAAAAAAGGGCAAACACTCCCAAACGGATGTATAAATTAAAACCTAGCCATCACCGCCAGACTTCTACTCGCGATTTATTCGGTTACATTTATATATCCCATCTACCGGCGTTCCTCGATTCTCCGTCGTCCCTCCGCTGCCGTCGCAACCACAACCGTCTGCCTCCTCTATAGCTCTCGATTCATTTGTTTGAATCCATACTTTGAGATATACAGGTATCGCACGCTATGATTGTGTATTTATACATGTATTACTTGGAAGATTAGCGATTCAACACCGTAACGTTTGTGACGGTATCGCAACGAATTGTGCGGTTCATTTATTGGGTGAAATACTGAAATATTGGAACTTGCGAAAAGACTGTGGCTATTCGCCATCATCTTACTTCTTTTCGTGTTTCTGTGATCAAAGGAACAAACAGCTGAATCAAATTACTGATGTACTGATTTTCTTGACTTAATCGAAAACTTTTATGATGTTAATTGCTATTTCACATGTTATCTAGGAGTACCTGCGTTGAATATTCTTTCTTTGTATTGTTCATGATGTTAAAATTGCTTAATTTGGTTCATCCTAGTAATCATATGTATGCCGCAAGGACGTGTGAATGAGGATATGTCTGCTTAGTGGATAACTGGATTGAGAGATTCTAAAAATCGAGGATACATATAAAAGAAGTTGTTTCATGATTCATGCATTACATATGATTGATAAATACTAAAACCCTAGTCTAGTCTATATTTTTAGAAATATATATAACTTCTTGTGTTGTCTTGCTTTTATCTTCTGCAACATAATACTTAAAGAGTTTATTTTTGATTTTAACCTTTGTTTTCTTTCTAAAGTATATAAATTTTTATACTGCAAATTAATTCACGCACCCTCCTCACTTTGGTGAGGTTTGAACCCCTGCCTTCCGGGGAAGCCAAAGACCCTGATATCGTTAGGCAAAAGGCCCTTCGGTTAGCCCTTGCTAATTTTGCAAATTGTAATATTCGTTTAATGAAAGTCAGAGTTGCCCCTTGTGAACCCCGATTCTGGAAATCCCTGTGAATTTGAGGATACCATCAACACTGCATGGGGAGCCTGCCCCACGCCCCCGGTTCCCAAGAACTGCGTTTAAAAGCACTTATATATGGATTTGACATTGGGTGCTTTATAGGGCATATTGTGATCCAGATAATGCTGTGAATAGATTTCCTTGATACTATGAACCATTTGATTATTAGAGCAGCGTTGCAAACATACAAGTCTGTTGTATTTTTCTTGACTGGAAATTTTGCCTGAATATCGCATGGGGAGCCTGGCCCACCCCCCTGATTCCCAAAAATTGCGTCCAAAAGCACTTATATGTGGATTTGGCAATGGGTGCTTTGTAGGGCATAATGTGACCCAGATAATGCTGTGTACAGATTTCCTTGATACTGTGAACCATTGTGATTATTAGAGCAGCCTAGCAAACATGTAAGTCTGTTGTATTTTTCTTGACTGGAAATTTTGCCTGAATTTTCAAAATGGGTAATCTATGGCCTCTGAATATAATTTTTTTCATTTGAAAATTTGAAGATCTACTGTGTAACAACTGAATAAATTAACAATAATATGTATCAGTATTATAGAGCTGCCTCACTATTTGTGTTATATTTGCTTTGAGTCATTCTTTTTTTTGGTCATGTTAAAAATGGTTAATGTAGTTTGGCTGTGTTATACTGTGATCCAAATGGTGTTGGATACTGCTTTTCTTGATGCTATCGATGGTAGGTGCAATCATGTGTCAGAATATTGTAAAAAACAAATTGAGTTCTCTTTCTCGAGTGGGAAATTGTTGGAACTTGTAAAATAATTAGTGGCTATAATGCACACTTAATTTTTTATTCCAAAGATCATATGTATAGACTATAACTGAATCATTACTTACATGTTGATTTTACTACCTTCAATTTCTTAGTATGGTAATAAGGTTGTCATTTGTATGGCACATCAGACAAATCTGTCTTTATACCTTCTTTCCGTGTTATTTCGTGCAAAACTTTGATCTAGTCTACCATGTATTTTAATTGTTTTTTTTGACTAAAAGGTGAGTATGTATAAAATACTTTGTAGGTATTAGAGTCTTGTTACGTGTGGGAGAAGCTTAGAACATGGCATCTTCAGATGACGAGGGAGAGACCTTGCCAGATGCCGTCTCCGACTACTATTTTTGTGACGGAGACGACGAACCCCTTTCATTTGTCAAGTTACCTGTGCAATGGAATGAGAATGAGAGATCAATCTCTGATGCTCAACCCATTTTTTTGAGTGGCACTGCTGATAATGGTCTACAAAAATTATACAAGCAGGTCAAAGCATGGAAGTTTGACTTCTCAAAAGATAATCCTGAGATTTCAGTGTGTTACAAAGATAGCCATTGGTTCAAGCTTCAAAAGCCCAGGAAGAGTTATGAAAAAGAGATTAGGACAATTTTGATCACTGTGCAGTGCCTATACTTCTTTAAAAGCGAACCAGAAGCATCAGGGAAAGCTTTATGGGATCACCTCTCTAAAGTTTTCAGGTATCTGTATTTGTTGGTGCAAATGGTTTTTAATCTTTATTTGTATGATTGTATCAGTTTGTTAAGACCATCTCTTTTCATTTTGCAGATTGTATGATGTCAGGCCTTCGGAGAATGATTTGGTAGATCATATGAACTTCATTAAAGAAGTTGTAAAACGGGATGAAATGTTGGCACGATCAAAGGTTTGAGTTTATTAATTTTTGTTTTCTGTCTGGCATTCAGTATTTTTTAGATGATTACTTGTTTAGGACATTTCCCTTTTGCCTTGTTCTTTTAAATTTTACTTGTTGGATGTTATTTAATGGAACAGTTTTTAGCTGCGTTTTTGGAGAATCCCAGAAAGAGGAAAGATCCCGATGAGGTATAATCTGGCTTCTGTTTGTCTTCTTTTCTTTCTCATGGATCCATCATGTTGTTTTGACATTCTGGAAATAACTGGCTTGCAGAATGCTGAAATTGCTACAAAGCCCAGTTTTATAGTTGATGATATGAATGACGATGAACCCCAAGATGATGACTTCATCGCAAAACAGACTGAAGATAGCGAGTCCGATGAGGAGGATGATCATTTCGATTCAGTTTGTGCAATATGCGATAATGGTGGTCAACTTACCTGGTACTACTTGTAACTTCATTCGTTATTGTTTCTTTGGACTTTGCATGCTTGTTTGTTTTGTTAGTAACCAATGGCTTTTTTCTTCCATCTTACGTGGTGAACGGATTCCTTCTTTGAAAATGTATGCCTATTAAGTTCATTTCTTGTCTATGTGGCATGCTAAACAAATAACATATCTGCAGGGGAGATGCATCAGAAAGACTTTGTAGAAGAAAAGTGTTCCGATATTTTTAGTACTACTGTTGGGCCTTCTGTGTCTAATTCTAGTGATTTAAGGTTGGAAAATACATGTCTATAATTCTCAGAGACTGTAGGGATTAACGTCTGAGCGATACAGGCTTGAGGAAATGTCTTTTATGGTGGTTACACATGTCCGTAAGAACAGACAACAAAACCTTTGAGCTTAGGGGTTTAAGTGATGTTTATATTCTGTTCTCGGGTTGGTTCCGGTGAGAATGGAAGTAATGGTGAGAAGGGTAAGAAGGGATCTCCATCCTTGGATCAATCATAATTGAAGATATCCACTAGACCAACACTAATGATATACACTAGATCAAATCCCTTCTTACACTTCTCACCGTAACTCCTATTCTCACACGATCCTTCGTCTTATGTTCTCTGTCTCAATATAAATATGCATCTTTATTTATTTTGGTGCAGTAGCTTTGCCAAATTGTCTTTCTTTTCCCTTTAGACTGGTATGTTTTCAGCTTTACAAATTTATACTGCAGGCATTTAGTTTGGGTTTTATTGGACCTGTGCTGGGAAGCTATCTCCATTTGGTTTTTTTTCTGATATATTTCGTCATGTATTGCAGTTGTGAAGGGAAATGTTTTAGGTCATTCCATGCAACTAAAGATATTGAGGAGGCAGAAGAGTCCAATTGCCAATCTCTTAATATACCACCTGAATTTGTGAAGGTGTTCTAACCATTTACGTTCCTTGGAAATTATAAATTTTGTTGCCTTTTCTCAATTATTATTTTCAATGTCTCTTTTGTTTTTACATTGGTTATCTTTAGACATCCCGTTTGTAACTTTTTGCAGGGATCACAACCTTTTCGTTGCGAGAATTGTTTGTATAGTCTACACCAGTGTTTTGTTTGTGGTGAACTAGGGTCTTCTGACAAATCTTCGGTTGCAGAGGTGTGTAATACTTGAGCCAATCTATTATTATTAGGGCTGTTTGGTTGGTTTTTCATCGAATTGTATGGATAAAGATGTCTGTGTGCATTAATCTGTCTGTATAGATTATGGAAGTTTTTGTTTGGGAGGGTTTTTCATAGATAGGAGTCTGTTCTTTTAATCGGTAGGGACAGCTTTTGAAAAAACTTCTTCCTGCATAAAGCTCCCCCCCTGAAAGCGTACTGAATAAGCCATCTTCTATATGATTAAGCCACTACCAAACAGTCATGTATAGCTAACCGAATAAGCTGTGAGTCCCATTAAACTCATTAAGCTGCTAACAAACAGGCATCAAGTCCTGTATGGATAAAACTGTCTGTATGATTGTGGAGGTTTTTGTTAGGAGCGTGTTTTTTAATTGGGAGGGTAGCTTTGGAAAAGACGTCGCTTTCTGCATAAAGCTCCCCCTAAAAGCTTACTGAATAAGCCACTTTCTATATCAGCGAGCCACTATCAAACAGTCATGTATAGCTGACCGAATAAGCTGCGTCCCATTAAGCTCATTAAGCAGCTAACAAACTGTCCCGTAGTCCGTTCTTGATTATCCTTACTTGTATTTTTTATGGTAGCATTATCTGCATAATGTAACTCAAAACTTCTTGCATGATACCATTCTTCAGGTTTTTCGTTGTAGTTCTGCAACTTGTGGCCATTTTTATCACCCACGATGTGTAGCAAAGCTACTCCAGCAAGATGATGAAGCTGAGCCACAGGATCTGGAAAAAAAGATTGCTGTGGGGGAACCGTTCATATGTCCTTCCCACAGATGTGTTGTCTGTAAGCAAACAGAAAATGAGAAGGTGAAAGACTTGCAATTTGCTGTTTGCAGGCGATGTCCAACATCATACCACAGGAAATGTTTACCGAGGTAGACATTCTGTTCAATTTCCTTACTTTTTCTTCATTCCAAGTTATGGTCATCTGTGCTGTCAATTATGGCGCCATAGCCGTGCTATAGCCGTTCGTGGTCTCTGAGTAAATGGTGGTGGTCAAATAGCGGAATAGAGCGGTTATGTGGATTAACAGCGCCATTGATCGCTAAATAACCGCAAATTTAACCTGAAATTGCGGGGACAGTAGCAGACACACACAAACACACACACAGACACATATATAGGGTCAGGTTAAGGGGGAAACCCGTAAAAAAAACTGAGGAACACCTTAGTAACCAAACCCGTAAAAAAAAACTGAGGAACACCTTAGTAACCATTGTGCATACAACTTGCAAGTAATTTTTTTCAAAATGCACATGTGCATACCATACAGATGAATGGTTATTAGGGTGTTCCTCAGTTTTTCATTTTTTTTTTTGGGTTTTCCCCTGAACTTCTCTCTCTCTATATGTATATGAACCGCAATTTTTGGACCGCCATACCACTGCTTTACGGTCGCTATAACCACTCTAGTCATGGTCCTGACTTTCATTTCAGATTTTGACCACTTGAATAACGTAGTTGTCATTTTCGTTGCAATCAACTCTGATCCCAATGTTACTTTTTTGGTCTTTTTGCAGGGAGATCCTGTTTGATCATCAAATTGACGATGACGGTGACGATGATAATGATGACATACCCAGGGCTTGGGATGATCTTTTGCCTAAATCCCGTGCATTGATATATTGCTTGTAAGTCCAGGATCCCTTGATTCGTACAGCTTTTAAACTTCTAACTACCACATTTTCTGAAATTTGTCAGACAACATGAAATCGACGGGGAAATTGGCACTCCTGCTAGAAACTTGAAATTTCAAGATATTTTAAAAAACAAGACAGACCAACGATCCAAAAAGAAGAAAGTTGCAGTCACGGAGGCCGGTACAGATTCAGAAATCACATTCAAGAAGACGTCTATTCAGAAGTCAAAGAAAGGCATCATGAAATCTTCTGCTGTTAAACCGGAAAATTCTTCGAAAAAGAGAGCGAACGTTTCATCTGGTCCGGAATCCTTGAAGAAAAAGAAAATAGTGGATACCAATAGAAGCTCTTTGAGGAGGACATCATCAACAAAAGTTAAGACACCGAGCTCGAATGATAACCAACCATCCTTGGGTAGTAGATTGTATGAGTATATGCAGAAAGGGACAGAATCAAACGAGTTGGAGAAGGATGACCCTTCTGTTGTTGACGATAAGCACACCATGGCAGCCAAAGCTTTACAGAAGGAAATTTTACCTCCTTTAGATGCTGATTCAAGACTGAGGTATTTTTTATGGCTTTTTGTTATCTTTCTCTGACCGTTAACCAATTTCAAATCATTGATTCTTGTGGATTATAATTTTCAAACTTCCACTTCATACATTGCAGAATTTTGGCATTAATGAAAGATGCTGCTTCCTCTATAACATTGGATGAGGTAAAGAAGTACCACAAAGGAAAAGTACCATCTACACATGCACATTCATCAAGAGTGGACAAATCCATCATCTTGGCCAGGGTGGAAGGTTCCGTGGAGGTATCTTCTTTTGACTTCATTCTATGGTTTTAAAAATCGTTTGAGGTGGCCAAAAAACTGCACCTGAGGCGGCGCCTCTTGGACCCTGGATGAGGCTTACACCTAGGTTCAATCAGGCGATTCGATGAGGCGTGAAGCGATGTCTAGGGCTGTAAACGAACCGAACGAACACGAACAAAGGCTTGTTCATGTTCGTTCGTTTAACTTAACCGAACAAACGAACGAACACGAATGGTAAACGAACGAAAATCTTTGTGTTCGTGTTCGTTCGTTTAGAAATAAGGTGTGTTCGTGTTCGTTTATGTTTGTTCGTTAACATGCTAAACGAACGTAAATGAACAAACATAAACGAACGGGCTAAACRAACATAAAYGAACGGGTTAAACAAATATAATTAAATATTATTTGAATTCAAAGTAAATAAATAAAAGATTATATATTAAATTTCATATATAAACGAACATAAACGAACAATTATAAACGAACGTAAACTAACGGTAAATGAACGAACGTTCACGAACATAAATGAACGAACGAGACTCTTGTTCATGTTCGTTTAACTAAACGAACAAAAAAAATTGTTCATGTTCGTTCATTTATTAAATAAACGAACATAAACGAACTTCCCGCCGAACGGTTCACGAACGGTTCGCTGAACGTTCGGTTTGTTTACAGCCCTAGCGATGTCGAGGCGTACGCCTCAGATGATCTGCTTTGGTAATGGTTTTTTGGCTTTTTATAAGCTTTATGACAATATGTACTTCTTTTTATAGCGTTTTTTGTATTTAAATAAAAAAAAACTAAAAGTCAAAGCCCAATGGCCCTAATGTGTACCAAGTACTTTTGATATTTCAAACAAAAAGCTAGTACTTTCTCCCTTCAATCAAAAAGTGTGGCTTCACTCTTCCTCTTCCTTTGAGCAACCAATTTTTCCACACCATCTCAGCCTATCTCACGATTTCACTCTTTCCTTTGTCAAGAACCACTTGACCAACGTCTCTTAGTAATTTAGTAGTATATATATGTATATATTTGTGTACTATATATACATAATTTGGTGTGTATATATTTCCGCCTTGAGGCATATGCCTCTCCTCGTTGAGGGGAAATGCCTTGAGGCCTGATTCTGTCTTTTAAAACTTTGATTCTACCTCAAGTTTACATTGTGTTCTTGAAACCTCTTCTTCAAGGAAAATAAAGGGAAGGGAGGGAAAGGAGGGGAAAGCAAAAAAACCATGTGCTCTCTGAACTTCTTAGGAGGGAAAGGCTGGGAATAGGAGGGAAAATATCATTTATGTTTCCTCCCAAATGTGGGAAGAAAGGTAGGGAGGGAAAGAAAATCTGAAAGAAGCCTGTGATCTTCTATGACAAAAATACCCCTTACAAGAAAAAGTAAGAAAACCAAATATAAAGGGTACATTTGTGAAAATGACATCCTTCCTTTCCTTTCTCCTGATTGTTTCTTCCCGTACATGCCTTCCATTCCCTTTCAATAACAAAAATAAAAAACTTTGAGGCTGTTTGGTTGGTTTCCATTAAGTTGTGTATGGTTAAAGTTGTTTGTGTGAATTACTCTTTCTTCCTTTTTATCTATCGGGAAGGTTATTGTTTGGGAGGGTTTTTTCATAGATGGCATGGAAGGAGCTTGTTTTCTAAATGGGAGGAGGCAAGTTTGGAAAAAACTTGGCTTTCTGCATAAAGCTCCTCCTAGAAACTTACTAAATAAGCCATTTTTTATACCATTAAGCCACTACCAGACAGTTATGTTCAGATGGCCGAATAAGCTGTGAATCCATTAAGCTCATTAAGCTGCTAACAAACAGGCCCCTTCTTTCCTTTCCATTCTTCTCCCTTTCCTTTTCTTCTCTTTCCAAATCGAAAAAACAATGTTGAAAAGATAAAGTGAACACCCATGTTTTTATGATCTAAGTTATTCTACTGCAGGCTCTTCATGTAGCTTTGCAAAAAATTGAAAAAGGATGCAGTATTGAGGATGCAATGGCTGTCTGTGAGCCTGGGGTCCTTGGCCAGATATCCAGGTGGAAGGTAGATGTCAAACACAATCCTTCTACTTATTCTTTATTAAATTCCTATGTTTTAATATTGCTTTCTTATCTAGTTAATGGCTTAATTTGTGCTTATAGTTCCATATAACAAGTTTTAGATCATTGATTTTCACAGAATTCCACAAAAACTTCACGGAATATATTTTGGAATTAGTCGTATCTATAGTATCATATGATATATGTGTGACTTTAAAGCAAGATTGCTATTCAGACATGATTGTGGTTCATAATGCGTTAATGAGATACCTTCTTTGAGGTTCTTATAGCAAAGCTTAATTCGTTGGTCTATTTGGACTGCATTACGTGAATTACATTGATTTGTTATGATAAATGGTTTGAAGGGTCTCTGAAAATATCTTCTAGGTGATGAAATGAGCATAAAATTAGATGGAAGGACGAGCGGAGTGTATCAGGCATGAGGTTTGGTACTTGATAATCAATGTGAATATGTTAGGATGAAAAAGTTGATGTATATTCATGGGGACCTGTAACTAGTCACTAGTGTAGTTGGGCTGAAGGAGTTGGACGGTTTTGGGGATAGAGGGCCAACAGTTTAGGCTAGGAACGTGTTTTTGGCTTTTTTTTTTCTGTGCGGGTTTTCTTTACCTTTTTTAATGTTTTCAATGTACCTACTCATTACTTTTTCTTGCTTACTTTTCTCGTCCTTCGCTCACCTCATACTATGATGTAGAACAAGCAGCCCTGGAATTTGAAGAAAGAATGGAAAGGACAAGAAAACCATAAGCTCAAGTCCAAGTTTCTTATGTTTTTTAGTTTTAGTTTTCTTTATTGAGTCAGTTTTTTGTTTTTATTTTTAGATTCCATAGCTTTTTAGTCCTTTTAGGATTCTTAGATAAGTTTGCTTAGGGCTCTAGTCTGCAAAATAGGGATCATCGTCTTTGTTTATGGACATAATTTATTGATTACAATTTATAAACATTGGTGGATTCCAAGGTATTTTCTTAAAAAACACGTTAGTGTGATTAACTCATTTCCGTGCTGCGTCATACTAGTCTTTGTTCTTTCTAACCGCCTGCTCACACTCTCACAAGCTGGGGGCTCCACGGAACCAACCATCTTTTGGGTAGAGGTCAGGTTCACGTACAACCCCCTACTTAGTGGGATTACTGGGTTGGTTCAGTTTGGTTTTTGGTTTTCCTCATGCATGGTGGAAAATTGGCGTTTGCATCAAGATGTGGCCTATGAATCTCAGTGGTAGGGAAGGCCACTTCTATAAATGGCATGGTAGCTTAGCTGCATTGCTTTTATTGTTGTTTAATTTGATATATACATGCTAAAGCTTGAGTATATTTTTCATGGTTTTTTTTTCAATGTGGCATGCAGGAAAAGCTCAAGGTGTACCTTGCACCATTTCTGCATGGAATGCGGTATACATCCTTCGGTCGCCATTTTACGAAAGTGGAAAAACTCGAGAAGGTGCTTCTTGTTGGTGATCTACTTGTAACTCATCTTTGATGCTTAATAGAAGTTGTTTTTTCTGGCTTCATGTTCCTGAGTAGTTGGCCCTGGATTTTACTACTTCATCAGTCCATTCTTTTATTTTTGTTATAAGCTAATTTAGTTTGTATTGGCACTTCTCTGATTTTTGGAAGTGCAGATTATTGACAAGCTTCAGTGGTATGTTGAAGATGGTGACACGGTAAGAAGTCACCTCCCCTTGCCTCACTTGAATTATTTTTCTTCGTGGATGTATGGGATGATAGTTGATAGTTTCGAGATTTAGTGGCTGTTTGGTTGGTTTTCCATTAAGTGTTGTATTGGTAGAACTGCCTGTGTGGATTAATTTATCTGTATTGGGAAGATTTTTGTTTGGGATGGTTTTTTCACAGATTAAATGAGCGTGTTTTTTAATCAGGGAGGGACAGGTTTGGAAAAAACTTGGCTTACTATATAAAGCTCCCCCCCTAGAAGCTTACTTAATAAGCCACTTTCTATATCATTAAGTCACTACCAAACAGTCATGCATAACTGACCGTATAAGTTCCGAGTCCCATTAAGCTCAATAGCTCATGAAGCTGCTAACAAGCAGGCCCTTACTGTTTTCATATGTGTATGCATGTTACATACCTTGTTAAAAATACAGATTCTTTATATGCTTCAGTTTTCTGTTAAATAGCGAGGCTCTTGGATGTTCATGTTTTATTAGATTTAGAGGCCGTTTGCGTTTGTATTCGTCTGTTGTGATACATAAGCTGCTGTTTTTATCGTTGTGCAGGTGGTTGATTTTTGTTGTGGGGCAAATGACTTCAGTTGCCTTATAAAGAAGCGGCTTGATGAAATGGGTAAAAGGAGGTGCTCATACAAAAACTATGATATTACTCGACCCAAGGTATGTTAGTTTTATTTTTCTTCGATTTATTTCAACTAAAGAGAATGTAAATTTGCATTTTGGTGTCAATTGACGACAACTTTCTCAGCGTTTACTTAAAGCACAATAAAATCTGAGGTTAGGCTGAACATAACACAGTTTTATGTTATGAAAAGGGATTTAGGGGTTGTCTGGTTGGTTTTCCATCAAGTCCTGTATGGATAAAGCTGTCTGTGTGGATTAATCTGTCTGTATAGACTGGGAAGGTTTTTGTTTGGGAGGGTTTTCTCATAGAAGGAAGGAGCAAAAACTTGGCTTTTTTGCATAAAGCTCTACCTGGAAGTTTACTGAATAAGCCACTTTCTATATCATTAAGCCACTACCAAACAGTCATTTATAACTGACCGAATAGTGGCGAGTCCCATTAAGCTAATTAAGATGCTAACAAACAGACACTTAACCAGTTTCTTGAATATGTGGAATCTCATTAGATTACTATACAAAGAGTGCTTAAGGAGAAAAGGGAGGTCCAACAAATTATAGAGGATAATGGCACAAGTCTAGCTGATGTGGGACTCCAACATACCCCTCCAAAGGAGGCTGGAAGGGCACAGGTCGTCTCATTTTTGAGAGGGTTCTAAGCGAGCTCAGGTTGCCCGGAGTGCCATGTCCCTAGAGCGGTAGACAGTGGATCTATGTGGGTTACGTGCAGTTTTGTTAAATTACTCTCTAGAAGCAGTGGCTGATTCAGAAATTTAGGTGATTGGGGGCACATCTAAGGGTGTGCAAAATTCTGAAGTAGAATAATCCATCCGAACAAGAACGGTTTTTGGTTGAACGATTCATTTGTTAGGTCAATTTTTTTTTTACTATTTTGGTTAAACTAAATAGCACATTATACTATTATTTTACTTGTATATGAGTTTATTGATTATCGGACACTCTCGGAGTCGGGGTTGGGGGGCACAAGGCCAAAAAGATGGGGACCTGAGGTAAGTAAAGAGAAAATCTAAAGGTAAATTTTTATATTTCTCTTTAATTTTGTTTTCACTGGGGGCACTTCACCCACCCCCAAAGGAGTGTGTCCACCCTATCCAAAAAAGCCCTTAAGGAGAGAAAGGAGGTTCGAACATATCATTTTTCTTGATTGTCTGGAGCTTCTATTTTTTACTTTATTTCTCCAGTCATTGCCGAACTTTGTACTGTACTTGAATACCAAGATCACATATTTGAAACCGTCTTTGCCAAGAGACCAAGCAAATTTTAGGTTTCTTCCATAAATCTTGGCTGTTTTTAATTATATCGGTGTGGGTTTTCAGAATGATTTCAACTTCGAGAAGAGGGATTGGATGACAGTTGCTCCAAAGGAATTGCCTCGTGGGTCTCGATTGGTAAGATTCTTGGATGATAGTGGTTTTTATGTGATGCATGCAATTTCGGAACTCGGTAGTTTACACATTTCTTCTCCCCTTGGTTGATGTTTGTTACGTTTGTCAAGTAGATCATGGGAATAAACCCTCCGTTTGGAAAAAGTGCTTCTCTTGCAAACCAATTTATAGAGAAGGCGCTTCGCTTTAAGCCTAAGATTCTTATTCTTATCGTTCCCCCAGGAAGTGAAAGGTAACTACCCTCTATATATATTATATATATGGGGCTTAATCATTTGAGAACTTCATATTGTGATAACCGTGAGAACTTTTATCTTAATGTATTGTTTCACATGATTTTTTCTCATCTAAGGCTAGCATTTATTGTATTGATGAACGTATATTTGTTTCACAATATGTTTGCTTCATATGTATGTGGTTCACAAATGTGAAACTTTTTTATGTCACTTTTGTTTCACAAGCAGGCTAAAAAGGCTCACATTGTGAAACAAGTACATGTGAAAAAATCGCTGTGTGAAATAATATATGTTAATCGATATTCTAAATCTAGTCTTCAATGAAAAAGAATTATATGAAATAGCACATGATGCATTGGTTTTCAAGGGTATCATAATTTCATAGGTTCTCAAAAGAAGATCCCCTATATATAGAGTTGGGTTCCGGTGCGAATGGAAGTTATGGTGAGAAGGATAAGAAGGGATCTCTACCCTTGGATCAATCCTAATTGAAGATTAACAGTAATGACATGCACCGGATCAATTACCGTGAGAAGCGCAATTCATGGGGTTGGGGTGAGATTGAAAGTGATCAACGGTCCAAATCCCTTCTTACGCTTCTCATTGTAACTCCTATTCTCACACGATACCTTCGTCTATATATTATATATATTAGTTGTGTACCCATTGGGCATACTTTCAGTCAAAAAAATTCTACAAAGCATAACTCTAAATGCATTAATGATTTGTACTTGATGCTTCATACATGTACTCTTGAAAATTTAAGTCTCTTACCCAAATATTTTATAAGATCGTATAGAATCATTTACACAATTTCTGTTTCATGCAACTTTTGTTGATATAGCAACGTATCTAATTTTCTATCCATCTATATATTTACACGTATGCTTGTCTTTGTCCAGGTTAGATAGTGAACAGCAGAAAATTCCATATGATCTGATCTGGGAGGATGTTAAATTGTTAGCTGGGAAGGTACGTTTAGTTTTTTTGGCTATCCACATGTTCATTATTGATTTAATCATCTTTCCTTTTCATATTAGACTTTTAACCTAGAGATGCACAAAAAGCCCAAGACTGAAGCCTGGTCCAGGCCAGGCTTCACAGCCTGATCGGGCCGAAATTTTGGGGGCAGGTTCGGGACCGGCTTAGGACCGAGACCAGTAGGGACCAATTATGGACCGACGGTCTGGGATCGGCTATACATAGACCCGATAATCAAGCTTTTTATAAATTATATATCCAAGATTTTCAGGTTTTTTACCCAAAACTTCAAGTGTTTTTTCAAAATTTTCAAGTTCTTTTTGAAGTTTTTTTTTTCAAATGTTACAATAATAAATTTCAAAAATCGTAATTATAGAACCATTTATAACATTTTTTGTGTGAAAAAGATTTAAAGTGTATTTAAATGACCCAATTAGAGATTTTAAAGTGTGTTTCATTAAGAAATTATACAAAAAAAATCTTCAAACAAGATTTTTTTATATGTTTAGAATTGATTTTTGGGAAAAAAATTGGGACCGATTTGGGGCTCACCTGTTCTAGAGACCGGGCTTTGTACATGGAGAACAGGCCGGGTGTTTTTGGTCAAAACTGGGATTGGTTACAAAATGAAAATCTCAGACCAGGACCAATTTTGGGTCCGCCCCAGCCCTGTGTTTTTGGCCATCTCTAGGTCCGGATCTAGGCCAGGCCCGAAAAAGCCCGGTTAAGCCTGAAAAGCCCTGCCTGAAAAACCGTGAGGCCCTTTTTCAACCCTAAAAGTCTAAAACAGCCTGGGACTTCTTTTTGCTCCCTGAAACAGATTTGGAAGTGCTCGGCCCCAAAAATACCTGTGCCTTGTCCATCTCTACTTTGACCCACCACACAGTTCACTGAAACTCCACATCTATAAGTAAAATATCTTTCGAGTGGGTATATACTGTGGTCGTTTGATGGCCTAAAGCGATGGTTTCATTTTCTTTCAGTCGTTTTATCTTCCTGGATCGGTGGATACAAACGACAAGCAAATGGATCAATGGAACAACACTCCTCCGCCACTATACCTTTGGAGTCGCGCGGATTGGACTAGCAAACATTTAGCTATCGCTCATCAGCATGGCCATATATCCGGAGTACAAGATGATGACAATCTCGGTCTTTCAAATGAAAACAAAGGAATAGGAGTTGGTCTTCCCGTCCCCCTCGATGATCTTCCCGTTACAAACAAAGTTTCTGAACAAACGACAGATAAACCAAAAACCGACATGAAGAAAGGTAAAAAAGAAAGCCCATCGCATTATGACGATGGAACGGAAACTAAAAGGAAGCAGATCGTCAAGGAGAAAACTAATCAGAATTCTAGCAAGAGAAACGATCATAATCAAGAATTCAAAAGGGCGAAACACGATGATAAGCGTTCTCCAGATCTTTCTCGTCAAGATCATGCTCCAAAGCACGAAGATAGGTGTTCCCCGGCTCCTCCCTCTCTAGATCAAGCTCAGAAACATGACGATAAGCTTTCTCTGGCTCCTCCTCATCAAGATGAAGGTCAGAAGCACGACAAAAAGCGTTATCGGGATCCTTCCTATCAAGATGAAGCCCAGAAGCACGAAGATAAGCATTCTCCGGCTTCGTCCTGTCAAGATCATGCTCGGAAACTCGACGATAATCGTTCTCTGGTTTCTTCCCGTCAAGATCACGCTCGGAAACACGACGATAATCGTTCTCTGGTACCTTCCCATCAAGATCACCCTCGGAAACACGATGATAATCGTTCTCCGGTACCTTCCCATGAAGATCACGCTTGGAAACATGACGATAAGCGCTTTCCAGCTCCTTCCCGTCGAGATCATGGTTTGAAACACGACGGTAGTCATTCTCCGGCTTCATCCCGTCAAGATCACGGTCCAAAACACGACGATAATCGTTCTCCAGCTCCTGGCCGTCAAGATCAAGCTCGGAAACATGACGATAAATGTTCTCCTGCTCATGAAACTATGCATTTGGAAGTATTTGACCAACATTTGGAGAGGAGGTACAACTCTCCCACTGCGGAATTGGGTAATAGCTTTCAGAATGATGCTGGGCCATCGTTTGACCACCGTTTGGAGCGGAGGTACAACTCGATCACTGATGAGTCGACTTTTAGTTTTCAGAATGATCTTGACCAGCATTTAGAGAGGAGGTACGGCTCGACCGCCGAGGAACCGTTTCTGGGAACAACATATAGGCGGCTCGATGGTGCAAATCTCGCAACCCCTGGCTATTCAACGAGACTGGACCACAGTCCGTATCCTGCCTACGATAGGTTCGCTCGGGGATCTTATCTCGAGGAGATTAATACAAGGGGTGGTGGTGGCTATATGATGAGTCATCACGAGAAAGGGTTAACGCGGTATGGTCCTGCAGAAACCGCACCGTATAACCGGACTTCCACATCTACAACGCAGCGGTATGCACCCAGGCTCGACGAGCTGAACCACACACAAATTGGACGGCCAGAATTAGATGAGTTGAACCACCCGAGGATGGGTATGGGCTGGCAGGGACTGGACGAGCTGAACCACCCTAGGATGGGTATAGGGCGGCCGGAACTGAACGAGCTGAACCACCCTAGGATGGGTAT